CTGACTGAAAAACCAGCAACCTCCATCCAGTGTCAGAATCTCACTGAGGAAGAAACTGGATTATATTTTCTATTGCTTTAAAATGTCTGCTATAACTGAAGTATATTCACATATAAAATTTGTCAATAGAGTTTCATTTACACTTTTTATATCTTTGTGTCATGAGGTAGATCTCAGTCGGCTGGTGAGAGAAAAAGTAGATCGTAGTCTAAAAAGGTTTGGGCACGCCTGGTCTAGAAAATATGTCTTTTGAAGGCCTAACAGGTTTTTTGCCAGATTGCTGTGCATTTAGCTCCATTAATCTTCCCATCAACCCTGATCAGCTACCCTCTCTTACAGTAGAACTCAAACAGCATGCTGCTGCCACCACCACCATGTTTTGTTGTGGATGGTGAGCTCAGAGTATATGAAGTGTTACTTTATAGATATATATTGTTTACAAAAAAATAGGTCACACCTGAAGACAACTGATTGAAATTTTTTTTATCCAGAAAACACAAAAATAGTTTTTTTTTGCTTTCAATTTTTTAAAAGCAAAACCCCTCTTTGGGGTTCAGCCCTCTTTGGTTCAGCAAAAAGGGAAATGCAAATCATACTACAAATTTCAAACTCTACATCATTACTTGTACATCCTCACAAGCACCTGTCTACTTCACACAGTATGTTAGCTTTACAGCTCCTGCAAATCTCCCATTCTCTTTTAGAACACTACCAACCAGCTCCATCCTCCGAGCTTATTCAATAAACAAAACATCCAACCAATTCCTAAGTCCACATATGAAATATGCTTGCTTACAGAAAGACCAAATTACTTATTAATTTCATCCAACCACAGCATCCTAGTAAGCCCCACCTCTGCCTTCCCAGAGATGACTCACCAGCAGCGGTCATGTCAGCACCGGAGCCCCTGCTGTCACTCAGGAGCTCCAGAGGCTGGTGGTGGCTGTCTGTGCTGGCAGAGGAAAAACACGACTCAGTCTCGTAGATGGTCTGCAGCATGGTGCACAATCCTGACACAGTGGGATGTAAGAGCATGCCAGGACAAGAGCTGCTGCTTAAGTTTGTGAAGAGAAAAAATGTCAGCTCTTCTTTAGAGGTACCAGCATAGCTTAGGAAGAACTGTCTGCCACAGATTGTAAAAAATACCAATTATATGTAAATCGGCCTGTTAAGTGTGAATAAATACTCTAAAAAGTTTTCATAGTGTAATCCAGTCTCAGTTGAAATTGCTAATTTCCTGAGAGCTCCGGTGGCTGTTCAGTTTCAGTTGTACTAACCGGCCAGCATCACCTTGAGTAAAATCCTCTTCTCTGTCATAGTAGGTGTGAGTTCCAGGAAGTCTCCTCTCCAATGGGATTGAGGGATTTGAGTTCAAGTAGATGAGAAAACAAAAAGCTTGCATAGATCTTCTTAAGTCCTCTGCTGGCTCCAGAAAACAGAAACACTTTGTCAGGTACCTGTCAGCTCAGTAACGGAAGATTGTTTCTTCTGTTGCAGTGGCTGCTTGGAGTCCAAAATCCCAACAGAAGGAAACCATCTAGTGCTGCGTAATCCCCATCCTGCTGGGCAATTCTGTGAGCTGAACAACCAAAAAATTCCCAGACGAAGGAGAAGCCGAGTTTTCTGTGTTCTGTGACATCAAAGGATCGTCTCACTGTTCACCTCCTGGCTGACGAGAGGAAGAGAAGAGGAGGAGTATGAAGGGGAGGAAGAGCAGCAAGGATGTAAATAGCTTCGGGAGAGCACTCCCTGAGGTTCCATGTTTCCAAAATTAGAACGAAGCTCTGAGCGAAAGGCAGAGAGAGCGAAACAGGATGGAAGCAGAACAGGACAGCTTCGTTAGAGAAGAACAGTGGAGAATCCTGATCCGTCCCCTAAAAATCGTCAGAAAGAGTCGATCTAAACTGATCAGGAGGCTAGCGCTTACAGCCTGCTGTGTATGCGGGTGTGTGTCTGTGACGCTCTCTGAGCTGGTGAATGAACTGTGAGAGATAGAGAAATGGAGGGAGGAGACTGAATGAGAGAGAGAGAGAGAGAGAGAGAGAGAGAGAGAGCAGTGGCTGAAAGTGGATCAGTGGGTGGCAGGGAAGTTATACGGACAACAACCTGTTTCAATTCAGGAAGAGTCAGAAGATGACAAAGGAGACAAGGACAATTGAAGACCGTCCGGAGGATGAAGAGCAGAAAAGAGAGGAGAAACCCAAGAGATGGTGCTTGATGGAGGGATTGGGGCTGAAAATAGTCTGCGGTAGTGGAGGAGGAGCCATAGATAAAAATAGACAGAGGCAGAGAGACTGAGAGTTCTACGTCCAGCTCCGCTCTGGAGTTCAGTGGTGGAGGTGGGTTGCATTCAGTTCTGTCACTCCTCTCCACTGCACTTCTCAAAGTCGATCCATTAATCATGAAATTGAGTCATCTTCTCATTTTGTGTTTCTGAGGTTTCATCATCCTAACACAAAGTGTAAAGCTATACACAACTGCTCATGTCAACTCAAACTTGCTGTTGTGCCAAGGAGCTTATGACAGCACTCAGGTGTTATAGTGATACTCCCAAACCCCCCTGATTGTCATCCAGTTATAAAACTCTTTTAATCCAGTTCAATAAACCAACATAAAACTGCAACTACAAATCTGTTGAATGTGACTACATTTTCTTTTTAGTCCAACTAGAGAGTCTGACAGCTTGTCCCATGAAAGTCATGGACATGAGTTTTTCCATCCACATGCAGAAAAAAACTAACACAGCACAAGTGAAGTCTTCAGCCTAAGCATAGTAACTTTTAGCCAGCTTGTCAGACTAGTGTCAATGAAAGTACTAACTGCCTGCAGAAATTTGAAATACTGACAAATAATGCAGCAGAACACAAAGTTGGAGTATCTCTTGGGTAAAAGTAATGCTAAAGTAGGCTAGTTGGTGATTTCCTTTTAAAGAAGGGGAACATTATTAACCACCTTCTGCCTAAACTTCATCAAATTCTAAAGATTCACTGATTGTATTTGTTGTGTAAGACAATATGTTAATCTTGGCACCTAAAAACTCTGAGAGGGGTGTGCCGTTTCAGCTGATGGATGAGGGTGTCAGGACTGGTCAGGCGTGTTGGTGATATTCTAAGCAGACTGAGGCACCTGCAGGCTCCAGCACATCCCACAGAGACTGTATCTTTGTAAAGCTTGCTACTGGATGTGGACAATGGTGTGCAATGCATGTTTCTGAGTCGAGGTGGTGAAGCTGCTTCTTTGGGGGAGGAAGAAGTATTGTAGTTTTGTAGTATTGATTGCTAGACTCTGCTATCCTCTATGGGCAACAGAAATCTCTATAAATGTATCAGTCCGCCTGTTCTTATAGTCTGGCCTAACGTGTGTGGATCTTCTTGGAATGCTGGTAACAGTGAAAATGAACTTTAAATGACTAAATGAAGTTTAGTCATTCAAAGTTTAGAAAGACTAAACTTTGAAGTTTAGTCATTCTATGATTTTTCCCTTTATTCATGTAATGCCCCTTTTCCATTGTCAAGTCTTACTCTATCTGGTTAATGTCTGGCCTGGTTCTAGCCATGTTAGGCCTGTCTCACAGTGGAGACAGACAGGCAGGAACATGGTCTTTGCTCTGATGACGTTTGCAGTAGAGAACCTCGAGGTTGTGGTTTTGATGGACTGAAATAAATACAGATATTTTATTTTGTCTTATAGAAATTAATTGCTTGCTAAAACATAATGAAAACAATTCAGATTAGCTGCTTAGTTTGCTATACACGCAAATATATTATGTGGCACTTTATTTTTTTAAAATATGTGCAATCTTTGAATGTAAGTAGTGCAGTAGAAATTATGCACTGCATTACTGCTGTACACTGATGGACATGCATGTCAATATCCGCACATGAACTTTGTTGAAAAAGGCCCCAGAATAATGTGCATATCACACCAAATTAATGTTATGTAGTTCTGCTGTCTCTCACGAGCTGGTGCCAAAATATAGCTCCGACAAAATGATGACCAGAGCTACACCGGTTTTTGCTTATTGTATCATTATAGTCGCTTCTTCATTTCATGCTCATTCTTCAGAGAGATGTGCTGCTTGCAGGACTGTGAAATCACGGTCATTCCTCTTCAAAAGTTTACGCTTGTTTTCCTGACACTGCTTGTAATTACGCTCCTCCACACTGAGCAGCTCTCTGATAGCAGACACCATGTCCGCCAGTCCACTGAGGTGTTTGAAATGTTATTGTTGAAGCTTGCAAAGTCTGACTTAAGCTCATGCAGTGACATAAATTATGGGTCGATCAAGGGATGCAGTCTGCTGTCAATCAAATCATTGTGCGCAGTAAACAGCTCACCGCAGCTTGTACTATCCCTGAAGTGGTTATGAAAAACAGGGGAGAAACCACACATCTCTGCTAATGGAGATGATTCTGAGGGAGAACAGTTAAAGCCACACCCATAGAGAAGGCGTTTCAGATAATCCTACCACAAAAGGTAAAGTGCCTAAAATCCATTAACATTGTGAATATTCTGTTGCTCCATTAGAACAGGCTTAACAAATGTTTCAGTTTGGATTTGTGCTTTGCATTTGAGAAATATAATAATTCAATCCAAGGTCACTTTAATCAAAAAGCTGTAGTTTTCACTTTGCTCAATCTAGATAATTACAAACTGAAACTGAACATTCTTATTTTTAGTTTGCTTGTTCAATTCAGCAGTTCAGTTTCAAAAGAGGCTTTGCTTTAACACAGGTGTTAAAGCAGATTATCATGTAATTTTGTTCATTATTGGCACACAACATGAAAGGCTTTTGGAAAAAAAAGGGGGAAAAAACAAAGTGGCTCTAAGTAATGAATGAAAATACATTTTAACAAGCGGAGAACCATCAACTCTAATTCAGTTTGTAACTCTTCATTTGACAGCTTCCTCCACTGGCTGAGCCATTGCTGCTGTCACTTATCTTTTCACAAATGATGATATTTGTATCATCATCGAAATTGATCAACATTAACATCTCACCTCCCCCACATTACCTTTTCTTCTCAAAATCTTCACCTTTTAAGAAACAGCTCCTTGTGTTGTAGAGCTCATTTTTAGGGTTGACTCAGTAGCAATGTCCAAATCCACAGAAATAGGCAGAAGTATAAATAGCACAGGATAGCTCAAAGTGCTCTGCACTGCTGCATCATTAACTAAACTGCTTTGTTGTGCTTCTATTGTCCAGAGCTGTCATAGCTTATTCAAGACATGTGCTCCCACCATAAGTTGTGATCTGAAACAAATTTGATGGTAAAACAGATGTGACTGAACATCTGTTTTACATGTAGGCCTTACGTGTGAAGTCTCAAACACATCAGCCAAAGGTGTGTGTGTACGTGTGTGTGCTGCTGAGGCTCAGTGGATGACTCATCTCTGCGTTTCTATTAGAGGCGCATCAACCCCTAGAGCCACAATGCTGTCTGTGAGTGTGCATACTATAGCTGTAACCATGACAACCAAATTACACAGAACTAATCACTTACATGTCAAAATTAGGAATTATCATTGGCAGACAGTGCATTTGGTACCTGGGCCTTCAATTTAATGCACCACTATAACCTTACAAGTATACAAGTCACAAATACTACAGTAAACAAAAAAAAAGAAAGAAAAAAAAACGCAATATAATGAGGTCTGATATTACAAAGCTTTGATCATCTCTGGCAACATTACATGTAATGAACATGTTTTGCATAGCCCAAAAACCTATCATATAGCTTGTTTAAGTAAGGGTGATAGTGGACCTTTAAGAAAAAGTCAGTCTGAAAAATGGATGTTTAATTTTTTTCTGAGATTAAATCAATTTCTCCATTTCTAGCCTTTGATTTAAAAAAATAAAATGAATTCACACATATTACTATGAGCATCGCAGGTTGCTGACAAGTGCCACTTTGTTAGTAAAACTTTGGGGTTGATGATTCACTCTGACCATCTTATCAGATCACTTAGGTCTTCAAGAAAGAGTTGGGAGGCGAATCTGAAAGCTGATTGGTTAAAATAACCATTCTGCTGCTCTATCGTTTAGTTAACGTAGGTATTAAACGATATCTAAAGGCCCTGGGCAGATTAAGGTGCAGATCACTCATACTGCACTAGTATGACTGCTAAGCAGCACTGACAGTTGTGCTCCGGCTACCCTGGTGTAAAAGAAATGGGGTGAGGCATTCAACTAGCTCATCAAACCTGGTAATATCTATTTGGACTGTGGGAAATTAAAGAATTTGTCCTGAGAAATGTGGGCAATCAATACACTTGACTATGAATTGTCTGTAGGCAGTGCTTGCAGAATCTGCACAGTTCACACAATACACATAGTACGCCTGAGTATATAGATCACGGTGCAGTGAAATTAGAAAATGAGCACAACAGATCAAGAGGAAATTGGGGATAAAACAGGAATGGTCACATTACTGGTCTGGAATCATTTTGGATAAACAAAAAAACTAATAAAATAAGCCATCTTAAAATTCTCACTACATTTGATTAGTAGATACAGAATGAACTAAATATTTCTGTGTTTCTGTACGTAACCTGAATAAAAGTAAACCCAAGTTTAGGTGATTTTAAATTAATTATAATAATAGGTGTGACAACAAAAAAACTAAATGATGAAAATGAACAATGAGATGTTTCTCTAAATGTACATACTTATATGTTAACCAGGTTATTTCACAGTTTATTTCCCCCATTTAACACTACAGCTGGAAAAAGTTTCGGCAAGATTCAATATGGTGTCATTTTTTTTAACCACGTGAAAGATACTTACTGGATTCGTGGGATGAATTCATGAATGCTGAGCCTGGACTTTCCGCCCTGCATAAGCTTCTGTTAAAGTGGGTCTTCTGAATCATCCATGAGTTGGACAGCAAAAGGACGAACAGGTAGATTAAAAGGCCTCAATGTGGAGTCTGTGGAAACATGCACAAAACATATTGAATTATTTTGCAGCACTTACTGAGTCTTGCATTTAAGCAGCAGGCACCTAAT